TTCTCTTCCCTAGCGAAACAGAAGAACGACGCTGTGACGTCTCCTGGACATTTCCTTGCGATGATCCCCGCACGAATTCCTCAGACGAACTGATTGGTGCTGGTTCATCGGATGTTCTTGGTCTCTTTCTCGGCCGGCCATCGATCTCATTCGTCTCCGTTTGCTTTCTTTTCACGATCGATGCTTTCCCTTTCGCGGATAGTTTCTTCTCAAAATTCAGCACGTTTACTTGCGATGGCAGATCATGGAGGACGTACCTTCTGGAGGGCCTGCCAGTTCGACGAGGCTTTCGCAGCTGTGCTTGTTTGTTTCCCCTTTCCACCAACCACCATGTCTGCTCGACGACCTGAACAGCTTCGCGATCTTTCGTCTCCCTTTCTTCGTCTTGCAGCCTTCGGCAAATTTCTGTGAGTGCTCGTCCCTTGCGGTAGCGGTGCAAGATGTTACGGCAGTGTAACATGCACGCTGGGCACGAGCCTCTGTCGGTGGCATTGACGGCCAACAGTGACGGGATCACACGATGTCGAACATCTGTCGCAATCGGGAGAGGAATGGGCTTATTTCTGGCTGAAGAAGGGCCTTCTCTACTACGAACACGGTGTTTGGACTATTGTCATGGATGTTCTCTCTTCTATCTGGACGCTGAGCACCGGAAATGAGCTCATCGCTGGCAGCATTGGTGAGAAATTCTTTTTCTCTCATCGCCATTAACACCTCGTCGATTGACCACGATTATGTGTTGTCTTCGCGTTAGGTGGTGCTGCACAGGTGTTGGTCGGGCAGCCGCTCGATACCGTGAAGACTCGCGCTCAGGTCGCACCCAGTAAGTCAGGATAAACATCAATGTTGAGCGATCATTCGATCGCATTGACACGAAGCAAATCGCAGAGGGGATGTTTGTGAGTATTATTTTTCTCTTACATCTCATGAGTGAGGAATTGAATCTCGGATTCGATTTGACAGAATGGGCCCATGGACATTCTGAAGCAAACAGTGCAGAAAGAAGGCGTCTTGGCTCTCTGGAAAGGTTGGCGATGGTCCTCTTGAGCTTGAAGAAACGTGAAGCTCAACGCTATGCAGGCATGGCAAGCCCTTTGATAGGGATCGCAGGCGTGAATTCCCTGCTATTCACTTCATACGCGATTTCGAAGAGAATCATTTCCCCCTTCCCGGATCTCTCTCTCAAAGAGATAGCAGCTGCGGGTGCAATGGCTGGAGCAGTGAACTCGGTCCTCGCTAGTCCAGGTGCATGCCCTTTTCATTATCAGGCCCTTGCGTGAGATGACTGACCTGGACCTCAGTTGAGATGTTTAAAGTTCGTATGCAAGGGCAATACGGTGCGGCAACCGACAAGCGTCTAAGCACTGTGGTGCGAGACATGTGGCAACAGTGGGGGTTTCGTAAAGGCATTATGCGAGGCTTTTGGGTAACCGTTGCCCGAGAAATCCCAGCGTATGCAGGGTGTGTTTGCTCTTTTCAATGCCGTCATCCTTGGGGTGAATCTCTGATCCACATAAAAATATAGCTTTTACACCGGTATGCTAGCTTGGCCGTAAACTCGGATCATCCACTAAGACCGATGTATCGTAAGGGTTTGAATTTACAAAACGGCGCTTTCGACAGCGGTATCGCACCGAGTTACCGTTGTGGGCGTTATTGGCAAGCGGTTCTTGTGGAGGGGTACGTCCATGGCATCTGATCTCCTACCCGTTCTTAACCGTCAGGCAGATCGCGTATTGGCTTTCTTGCTATCCGCTTGGTCTGTCAGAACGTTGTTTGACATAGCCGTGTTCTGATGTAGCACGCGCAGACGTCGTGAAATCGCGCATTCAGCTGCGGTCGACCCCTCCGTCCGGGACACCTGTTCAATATATCGGACACGAGTTGAAGGTTATCGTATCAGAAGGCGGGCTGTAAGAGATCCATCGAACTCTGCGCATCACATTACTGAGGGACTCCTTCCTAGGATCGGTCTTTTCCGTGGTCTATCGCCCTCTTGTATGTCTCCTGACGTTTTTAATTTGAGTATTACGTTCTGAAGACTCAACCCCACAGTGCTCAGAAGGTAAGAAGCTCGAGCCTCGCGGTACCTGAAACATCGGTAAAGGATTGACGCCTGCATACAGTATACCGGCGGCTGGAGCGACTTTCGCAGCATTTGAAGTTACGAGGGGTGAGTTCGTTGAGTTTTTCACTTAGTCAGCACACGCTGATTGATCGTGTTCAGAATACTTGCTAGACATCACAGGTGTATGATTAAAGGTGATATATTTTAATGTTGAAAACGCGAAAACAGTGAGGACAATGAGACGAGAATGGTACAGATTGATATGCGCAAGGTTCAAACTAACAAGTACATTCAGACACGGGAAAAGAATAGAACGGACGGAGCTGGGCTTCGTTGAGAATGAAGGGGTTATCGGGAGGGTGGAAGATGCACGTTAGTGCGTTGGGATTGCGGCATTGCAGCGAAGGCTGCGGCGCGACGCTGACCGGTGCGTGTATCGCATGTCGAAGGTGGTAGTGTTTCGATTGTTATTTCTTTCGCTGTTGTAAGTGGCCATATGTGGAAAGACCTCGCAGAGGCTGACGGGGAACATAGATGTGGGCGGGGAACGGACGAAGAAGAATGCGAACCAGTCGTAATCTGCGTTCGACTTCAGTCAAACCGAAAACGAAGGGAAAAACCGCAAGAACGCACAGTGTATGTGTTGCGGCCATGCTCTGCAACTGGGGCGACTACGGAACGAGGGCCCATGCGGGGTCGTTCTCAAGACCCATGGCCTTCTTCAGGTACGACATGATCGGCCCCTGGTCCGCTTCAGCGCTCCAGTGGACGTAGGGGATGCCGTTCCTCCTCTCGTAGGCCATAGCACGCTGCTTCTCCATCTCGATGTGGTAGTTGGCGACGAAGAGGGCGTTCTCGTACGAGAAGTGCGCGGTAGCGCCCGTAGGGTCGGTGTAGTACGACATCGGCGGCTTCGGATTGACCCTCTTAACGCCCTTCAGTTCACCGGCGTCGGCGAGGGGGCTCATCGTCTGGGCGGCGGAAGCTGGTGTGCCAAAGGGCGACTCGTCGGGGGAGGAGAGCCCCGAGTCGTCGTCGAGGAGGGACGGAACGGGAGACGCGTGCCACTTGCACGGTGCGATCTTGGCGGCAACTTTACTGGAGTACGGGAACTCGAGGTCAAGCGCCGCGGAGGGGAGGGGCGTCCAGCCCGTGCACGAGTCATGCGCGAATGAGTCTGGAGAGTCCGGAGTTGGTGCCCTGGATGCGAGGTCGAGGAACGACTTCGGAGACGGAGCGGGGCTCCCGTAGACGCTGGCGGTCGCGAAGCTCGAGTTCGCAGTGTAGTAAACGGTGGTGCACTCTGCTTCGTCGGGGGAGAATGGCCTGAAGGTGTCGACGTACGGAGACGAGGGCCTTCGATGATACTTCGAAAGGTCCACCTTGGGGAGGCCCTCGGCGCCCGAAAAGAGAGAAGAGGGCCCGACCTGCGCCTGAGTGTTGCGCTCGGAGTCGAAGTGCTGATCGATTTTGCGGGCAAGAGCGGGGCCAATGGTGCGCGAGAAACACAGGTATGGGTCCGGGAGAGTCGATGGACTCGGGGCCTGAGGAGGGTACGGCGGGCGTTCGTCGTGGGAGGTCATTCCGTTGAATTTCGAGGCGAACTGAAATCAGTAGAAGGTGAGCGCGGATAACGAATTCAAGGAAGTCATAACTCACGTCCTCGAATTTGTTTTTCGCGTCCACTAGACGCGAAAAGTTGACAGGGACAGGATGTGCTATGATCATCGAGAGATTCGAGAGTCTTGTTCAAGCTGGGCCGCGCAGGTACGTCGAGGTGGTAGTGGAGCGGGGCGGGGAGTGCTTGGGTTGTGGTCGTGCTTGCTGTCCGCCTTATATATGCTCAGCCCTGCTAGTGGCCAGGACCTAAGTGGCACTTGAGCCGCACACCGCTTGAACACAACAGAGCTACGGCCCATGCAGTCGACCACACTTCAAAAGTTTCCGTCGTTACGAGTTCTTTGAAAGTTCCCTTTGACTGCGACACGCTGCAGTGGTCCATGGCACGCCGCGAGTTGGACAATGGGATCCCTGAAACCACGTTGTATGCCTCGCCCCGACACTTTCTTTGACGCGCCCACAATACAGCTTTATTAGGGGAGATCAAATATCTCGTCGCGGCCTTGTCGCGGCCTTGTCCCAGCAAATGTCGCGAGGTTCCAGGACAGCTCAAAAAGCTGTCCGGACTCTGATAACCCCCAAATGAAATTGTCGTGAGCTTGTCGCGAGAGTTGTCGCGAACGCGGATTTAGGCGGCGCATTTCCCTTTCGGGACGCTCTCACACTCGTTCTTGTCGCGGCGACAAGCAGATTTTGCTGCGACAGCTCCAGAGCTGTCGCAGCAAAATCTGTCGCGAGCCTCCACGACAACTTTCGCGACGAGGGCCGCGACAAGCTCGCGACAAGATATTTGATCTCCCCTATTATTATCATCACGTGTGCGCGTCGGCCCACACACCAATCCAAGCGTCTTTGAATTTTGAATTCAGCAATCCAAGCGGTGTTATCTGCTTTGGCCTACTAAAGCTTCACCGGTGGCCACTGAGCGAAGGCCCCTCTCGTGACTGCACCGGGCCTGACTTGTCCGTCCTCTACTATGAACTATTCGCAGCAAGGCGCCAGTATCTCGAATGGGTTAATAATTCGAAAGTAGTAAGTACATGGAAATGCGTCAGCGTTGTCGATAAATGATTCTGGGGGTTGCGCTAATGCTCCGGTGTCGGTGTACTTAGTCTACGTATTAGGTAGACGCATATGCGTATCGCGTACACCATTATCACTCGCATACCGTTCAATCATCTAAGAATCATCTACGTAGTTTCCTGGAGTCGAATACGTTCAATGCACAGTTCACCGTAATCACTCTCGAATACTTCCCGGTACAGCTAAAGGAAAAACAGATCATATACAAGCATTTGAGCAGTTTTACCAAGCCCTTATAGCTCAGTGGTAGAGCGCGCCACTCGTACGATTACGAGTTTATCTCATGGTGAGGTCGGTTGTTCAATCCAGCCTGGGGGCAATACATTTTGTACCTTTTTGCTACCTTATATTTTGCGCCCATTCGCCTGACTACACAGTATGACTCCTGTACAAGTGAACACACATCTAATTTGAATTTTATCCGGATACAAAATTCAAGGGACGGTTTGGTCAATCTCAACTTCCATTGTGATAAAAATTGCTTAGGATACAAGTCAAACTACTTATGTACATTTTATTCGAAAGCAAAGTTGCGTCGGAAACAGGTTTAGCTAAATGAGACAACATACAATTGGATACATGTACACGGAAGGTAATACTGTAAGAATCGTTGAACGGATAAACGAAAATTCATTCCGTTTTCTACGTCAGAGTTGCAAAAAAACGAAGGCGGACGATGGGAAGGCAGTTAATAGTGGGTGTCACGAAAGATTGCATTGGTGTAGAAGTTGGTGTTGTTGCTGAAATGGCAAGGCGATAGCGAAAGAGAGGTTCGAAAACGAGACCTGAGGCAAATCCAAAAAAAAGTTCATCTTTCCGTGTCATCGACTTGAGACCTCCATTGAGTCCTCGTCGTCCATGACAAGCAAACGCGAGTCGTCGAGAGAGACCCGCCCTTGATCGCTTCCACCAATCGCATCGCCGTCGTCGCTCATCGATTCTGACTCGGACGACGTCAATGGGGGTCGTGGTGACGGTGAAGTACCCGCCGAAGAGTCTGTCTTTACCCTCTTGCGTGTTGCTGCTGTTTTGCCGCGAGGATCTCCCAACGTGAGGTCGCTATCCTGGGCAGAGCTGATTTCGTCTAATTCTTCCGAACCGCGCTTCTGAAGTCGGATAGCTTCAGGAATCGTATGCTGTTTTGTGGGTATGACGGGTTCAAAGCTCTCGTCCAGACGCTGTCGCTTTGGAGGAGTGGATGGTGTGGTACATCTGCCCAGACGAGGGATATCTGCTGGATCCAACTCGATGTCGTCCAGGTCGTCTTCAACTGCATCAACCGAACGTTTCCTTCCGACCACTGATTCCTCCCTTCCTTCATCTTCCGGTTCACTGCAATCGATGAGGTCTGATACGTTCGGCGAAAGCATAAACTCCTCTTCTTCTTCCTCTGTCGCAGGCAAAATCTCTACTTGGATCGGGCGTTGCAGCAGCTCCGCAACCCGCTCGTCCTCGTCGTACTCCTGCGACGGAACTACGGTACCAGCCTCCAAGTTCGCTAATTGCACGGCACGCTCGCAGATGGAGCACTTGCATTGGAACAAAGGAGCGCACGCGTCGCGCCAGGTCTGTTGAGAGAAACAAAGGGTGTTACGTCATGAAGCGAGCAAGGGCAGGGAACGGCAACGCACAGTTTTAAACGTATCGATCGTAAATTGCGGATATCGCTCTACCGAGTCCGGAATATATGGGATCGACGGAATTTGAGTCGGAGACTCAAGAACAGGCGAGATCGCGATCGGCAGCGCCTTTGGTCGCGTGGTGCCTTGGGAAGGAACGACGTGAGGCGGCGGCATTGACACATCGTCGCTTTCTTCCTTTTTGTGCTCTGTTGGAGGTGGGGGAGAAGGAGTGGTCTGAAGAGTCGAAGTCGATAGGACCGGGCTCGTCGCTTCGGAGCTACTTTTTGAGGATACGGAAGAGTCATCGCCTTCGCTATGCTTGTATGACTCGTCGCGATCCCGCATCCAGTCCGTCCCGTTATACCAGACACCGCTCACTCGGAGTGCTTTTGCAATATCCTCCACTTCCATCTTTGCTACGCGCACACATGCATCCGTACCATCCATAGCAGATTCCATGACGATTCGACGAACGATGTTGACCATCGCTGGATATAGTAATGATCGCATTTGTCGCTTGTATGCCTCGAACGCAGAACTGCACAATGGCAGAGTTGGCGGAGGTGAGCTGAACGCCATTGTCAGCGGCGGGTGAGGTTGATCCGCTTCCGAAGCTGGGTAGTTCCATGGACAGGGATGAGTAGCGTTTATGTACGGCGGATGTCCCCATTCTGGCGGTGCTTGTCCTTGTAACGCATACCACTGGTCGGCAGGACTGAGCCAGTGACCTTCCAATATTCGTGTGCGAGCCCAGTCATTGATGGCAAGATCGCGTACTCCACCTCTGTCCTCGGTCATGCTCATCAAGTCGGGATCGTCTTCGTCGTCGGCCTCGCTCATCTCCTCCTCGCTCTCGTACTGCTCCGCACCCATAGACAATCTTCTGAAGCCATTATTCCGACCTGTAGTGCGATTTTGAAGTTTTGATGTCGCGACGGCGAGGCTCATCATTTCCGCGATCTTCGTGTGTTTCCGTAGCCATAGCTTCTCCATGCAGAGCGATATGACCTCACGTACTGTCCCTTCGCCCATCTCTACGAAGGCGTCGACAGCTTGTCGAGCCTCCCAATCTTGTGGAGCCAACTGCTTCCCACCAATCGCCTCAAACTCCTTCGTTGGTTTACCATTACCCTGAGATTCACCGTCTTTCGCAGCTCGTACTAACCACTCCATCCGACATAGTCGGCAGGTGGACTCAACCTGAGGCCAGCAGTCGAAGTCCTCGTTTTCGACAACGGCGTTCTCGTCGTTTGTGCAATCGCGGAGACAGATGCCGCAGAATGTGTCCTTCTTGTGGTCTTTACACGCAGGAACATGGCCCAGTGCGTACGTATAGACCTGCCGTTTGCACATATATAGTCCCGAAGCCATACTTGGCTGGTTGATGCGACACGGAACGCAGCATCGTGCAAGGAGGTTGTATCGGAAGTGTTTGTATGGGGAGACTCGCACTTGTTGGCGATAAAAAGAAAGGTGCATGTCATTTGGGTCAAATACGGCTGTTGCGTGCTGCCAGTAGAGGTGGTATTCAACTGCAAACGCAAGGACGAATTAGCATTAATGATCCAAAAACTGCCGCGTGCCATGATGAACAAGCTGCCCCAACACCGACCACTGACGGTCAAGTCGAATAAGAAGATAGCATACACCGGCGACAAAAATTGACGCAGTGCCAGCATCAATAAGCACATGGTAAATATGGCGAACTATAGCGCAGGCACGCGCTATTAGGTAGCCGAGATGCTAAAGCCACCATGTGCGATTGCATGTCATTCTCGTGCAGATCTCGTGCAAATAGAGAGATGAAAAGCTCGGAATGAAATGACGATACATGAATATGCGTCTTCCCGAGCATTCATAAAGTAAATGCGCTGGCGTAATGAAGTATTGGGAGTATTGGAAAGACTTGAAGCTCGAGAGTGAATGGGGACGAACAGCGAAGACTCACTGGCATTCATCCACGCCGGACACACCATCATAACCTGTTCTACGGCCTCCGTCTCGCGCACAATGTTGTAGACCATCCTCGACAGCCAGTGTTCTCGATGTTGCCATGTCTGCGGAAGGAAAGCAGTCGCGGAGACGTCGAGCAGGAGTTGGGTGACGACGAGACGGATGACATCGGGCGGAAGCTGGGTCCAGGACCTCGACGTCGACTTGCCCTTGAAGTTCATGGCCGCTGTCGTCGTCGATGTCGTCGTCGTCGTCGCTGTCGTCGGCAACGTCGTCGGGCGTCAATGACGGGATTTCGAGTCCAATTGTCGCAGTAGTGGGTGGCGCCGACTTCTCACGAGACACAGGCACAAAGACAAGGACAAACAAAACTGCTCAGCATTTCTCCCACGCACGGACCAGTCACGTTCGTCCAATAATTAATTACACGATGACTGCGAGGAAGCTGAAGGTGACGACTACGAAGCTAACGAATATTTCATATCCAAACAGAAGTCCATATCGATGGAGAGAAGTAGAAGAGTTGCCTGTTGGCGTTGGAGACTGTGTGGAGGACGAAGAGGAACTGGACGAAGTCGACGAGTTGGTCGGTGAGGCCGGAAAGGTGAGTGAGGCACTTGATGAAGCGAGGGCACAGAATTCGCGAGCTAGCGACTCAGCGCTTGAGAGTTCGTCCGAGCATTGCGCAGAAACGCAGCCAACAAGGTCAAGAGGGAAATTTCCGCTATTCGCGAAATCAGCTCAAGTGAGATCATTATGCGGCGGCGGCAGATCTATGTGACTTACTTGACGCAAAAACAAGACACGTCTGTGATGGTCGAACAGTTCACTTGTGAAACGGCGAGAGCAAGGCAGTTGTTTACTGAACAATTACTTGAATGAGTAAACGGCAAAGAAAGGGTCATGGATTCCTTCACGCACCGCAGGGAGAAGATGTACCCAAACTCGGGAACGACGTAGTTGTAAGTGTTCCCGTCGCAACTCCTCCGCTTGAGATGACGGAGGTGAGAGTGGTGGAGAACGTGCTGGTTCCGTTGGGCCCGACGCTCGTCGTGAGCAGTGTTGTGACACTCGTAGATATAACGACGCTTTCCGAAGATGACGAAGTCGAAGTCGTTGTTGAGCTCGAACCAGATGTTGTTGTCGTCGATGGAATTGGAGCAGTCAAAGACGCAGAGCGTTTGGGAATGGCGTCGGCGAACGATGGGTCTGCGAGTGCCAGCGGTACGTTGGCGAGCAGCCCGTAGACGGCAAATATGGCGAGTAACATCGTTGAAGAACGATTCCCCTGCGTTCGTGCCTTATAACAAGCTAAAACTATGCAAAAATAAGGAACAACACTCCAGTCGGTCGTCTGACAACGCTCACCCTTCTCCCGCCCACCTAAACGTTCTCTCCGTTCCTCGTCGACGATTGACGGGACCTTTGAATATGGGTGCGTTTCGCACTACTAAGTTGCCTCGTTCCGACGACCGTCACAGATGGCACAGTGAGAGATAAAGACGAAGCGTAGCCACATTGACGACGGTTCAAAGAAGAAGACGTGTTCGCACTGCGAAGCGAGTGATTGTTCCGTGACAAGCAAATAGCCGGTGCGATGCTTTCAACTTTGTCTCCAACGTCCACCGTCTCGTTCAAACCTCCAAACGCGAAAAATTCCGTCGCTGGGACCTTTGCAACGAGAAAGTAGAAGTGATGAAAACGTTCAAGGGAATTGTAGAAAATCTAATCAACTTGCTCGAGG